CCCCCCCCCGCCGGTGGGTGCTTTCTCATTTATTTCACAGGCAGAAGGAATTTCTCAAATAAGGAAAAAGGAAAAAAAGAAAAAAAAAAACCAAACAAACCCAATAGGAAACACCGCAGAGGAAAAACGAGCAGCAAAAAATGTAAATTGTGGTCGCTGCTTTTTCCAAACCTTTGAGGTCTGGGGCCCCTCTGCACTCCTGCTGCTGTGGGGGATGGGGGCGATGGGGAGGGGTCACCCCCCAGCAAAGCAGGAGCATCAGCTTCTCTGCAGGGCTGTGGGCCCCTGCGTGGCACTTCGGGGTGTCCTGTGTCCCCTGCACCCCTCAGTCATGCCAGATGTTGTCCACATCTGTCCCCCCAAGGAACAGATCTGTCACCGCACCCACCATCACCCCTGACTGCCGGAGGGCTGGCTACAGCTCTGCCAAAAATTCCCAGATGGGGTCGTCCCCCCACCAAAATGTGTAAATTCCTCTTGTCATCTTGTTCCCGCTGATTTTTGACATCCCAGGAGAGAGAGAGCTGGTGGGAGCCGTGCCCGCAGAGCCCGAGGCTGGAGCACCCAGCACAGAGAGCCGTCCAAACTGGGAAACACCAACCCCCCGAGTCACTGGGACAAACAGGGAGGCACAATTTCATGTGTTGACTGTTGCTTCGGGTTAATGACGTCAGGCAAAATGTATCCTTTGTGCAGCTCCACTCCCTGCCCTGCTGTTACCCAACACTGCAGCTTGTCCCGGGAGATGACGGGGTTACGCCGGGTGCTGCAGCAAACGTGTTCCCACTGGTTATTTTCTGCATTTGCAGTGTTTATGCCGAGGCAGGAGAGATGTAATGTCAGAAGCCGAGGCCTGTTGAAAAGCCACATGATTTATGCATTTTCCTTTGGCTGTATTTTCCTACTGGGACATCTCCAATTTGCCCTGAGAAATATGAATTTTTAACATACACAAATGAAAAGTCCCCTGAGGCCCTGGGCTACCCTGGGCCGTGGATGGCCATGGGTCAATGGGAAGCTGCTCTCTGCGGAGCTGATTGCACTCCAGTTTAAATAGAGCTGACAATGGCCTGGCTAGCAGGGATTGGGCTCTTGGGGCATTTCTCCGTGCCAAAAGGGAACCCTGGTCTGCCCGGCATGGAAAAAGGGCTGTGGCCAAAATCCCTGTGAGGTCCCATCTGCCCAGCTCAGTTGGGGCTGGGCAAGGGCTGAGGTTTGCTCCTGGTGGATGAAAGACCTTCTACCCTGCACAGCAGAGTGCACCCCCAGGAGGCACCCCACAAGGACACTGCCCCAGCCCCACAGACCCTACAGCCTTTGGGACATCGGAGCAGTCCCAAGTGTGGCAGCATATGGGGGCTTCCCCACAGGTTTCTGTGTCCTTAGGGTTTCCCCACAGCCGGGGAGATCCCCTGTTTTGGGTCATCCCCCGATGAGGGAACAGCGGACTCCAGAGAAAGTAATTTTTTGTGGGGTCTCCCTGCAGGAACAGGGGTTGTTCCTATCGCCATCCCTATCCTTATCCCAGTCCCCTCACTGATTCCCATCGCCGTCCCCATCCCGTCTCCCCTGCAATTCCCCCAGCCCAATGGCTGGGAATGGCAGTGTCCCCAGCACACACTGCAAGCAGCTCCTCCAAACAGCCCCCACGTGCCTGGAGGCGTATCCTCATGTCCATCTCTGTCCCCGTCCCTGTCCCCATCCCTGTCCTGCCATCCCATGCACGGCGGGCTGTGAGCAGGCTGCGATGGGTGTCTTTGTTCTCTGCCTTTCTCCATCCCACTCCTTCCCACGCTGACCTGGCGGGTCACTGTGTGAAAGTTCAGCCCGGTCTGAACTCACATAAATTCCTGCAGCTGCTCAGCCCGGGGCTCACGTCACCGGGAGGGATGGGAGCGACGCTGATTTACAGGAAGGTTGCTCACAGCTTTGCTTTATTGTTGGAAATTGCAAACCTAAGGGAGACTCCAACAAGAGGGGAATAGGGCATATGTGAATTATGCCGTCACCGCTTCGGGGATAAATTTAGAGGAACGGTTATTCTGATTCAGCAGAGGTCGGGAGACATCCAGCAGGGATTTCCTACCGGCCCCTGGCTGAGCGCAGCGGCATGTCTCACCCAGACGGGCACTGGCAGCGTTCCCGGACGGAGCAGGCACCCTCGGTCTGTGCTCAGACCTGGCCTGGCAGTGATTTGTGTGTCACACACCCGCGGTGCCCAGCCCTGCAAGAGGAACATTTCTGCCTGCTCAGTCCCCACATTCTGGGATCACTTATCCTGGCTCTTCCCAAGCCCAAGTTTGCTGGACCAGAAACCAGTTGCTCCCTCCTCCAGAGGGGGACCCTGCAGCTCCTGGCCTTGGCACGGGGACAGGAGGGACCAGCTGGGCTCCTGCAGCCAGCCCAGGCTGGCCAGGCTGGTTGTACCCCAGCCCTCCCCCCCGAGGGGACGGGTGACAGCGGGGAAGCACAGGCTGCCTGAGCACCAGCCCCGTCCCTCCCCAGAGCCGGGGACACCCCCTCATCCACATCAGCGAGTTCGCAAAAGCTTCTGCTCTTGACGGTGCTGCGTCTTGAACAGAGAGGAATTTCCAAGCAGGGTGAATCAGAAATAAGGAAAATTGGTTGCA